AACGATTACAAATTCACGGGTTTAGGAAAAATCTTATTATTGAAATTTAATAAACAACTCGCCAAAATTTAATAAATCAAATGTAATGAATTTCATCAAACGCTACAAAAAATGAAAGAAATATATTATTTACAAAAAATCATGTGTTAACTTCATGGCTATTACATTGTGACTGATTAGCCGGACTGTCAATGAATTGTGAATTGTATAAGAAGAAGAAGAAGCAAGCCAAGAATAATGGCTGCACTTTTTTTCCAATACGGAATTTTTAGTTAAACAAGAAGCAAAAAGAATTTTTTTTTATCAAGTGAATAATGTAGAAATTTATTGGTAAAAGATGACATTTATAAACAAATGGTCGTGAAGTATTAATAAAGTATTATGAAAAGTTTTAGCAGAACGATGTTTTATAAAAAAAAATAGAAAAGGATTTATTAAAAAATAACAAATACAACAACTTGGCAAAGTAAACGCCATTGGAGTAAAGGAAAGAAAAAAAACTACACGGATTAAGAAATTTGTTTGGAAGAGAAATTAATTAAATAAAATAACGAAAATTGTAAAAATTATATATAAAAACTCAAGAAATTGCTAATAAAAAGGTGAATATTTAAAGTGTGTAGATGTGAAAAGGTTGCGTTAAAATTTTCTCCAAGAAATGAGAATTGCATTTCATTCATCGGCTTTTCTTGTACGTGGAGAAGGCGTATAAGAGGAGAGTGTGCAAGATAGAGAAAAAAGAACACACAGCTGGATCTTTTTTTATTGTTTATGAAAGATGACTTTAAATATAAATATACAATTGATCCAAATTTAATTTAATCCAATTGTCGTCTTTACCGTTTTGAACTTAAACCGTTGAAGTATCATGTAAAAGGAACTGTTGTGTCAGCAGTTTTTGCTGATTGATTTTTCCCTACTCTTTAGCAAAAGCAGTCAAATCTTTGCAATAGTAAAAAAAAAAAAAACATTTAATTAGGGATTTTGTTTTAAATATTTTAATCCATATTTGGTTTTGTAGTTAAGAAGCGAAAAAAAAATTCCCCACCCACTCACGCATATAATAATAATTGTCACATTTCCTTCCAATAGCTGTTGTTGTGAATTTTGAAATGTTTTGTTGCATTTGTGTGTGCATTGCTGATACGTGCTCTTTGTTGACGTAGAGCTATCAAATTGTCTTAAATGTCTTTTAATAACGTGTGCCTTTTATAGGTTTCTCCACATCCGTCCAAGCGTCTGTCTGTTAGTGTTAAGTTCCGGTATCAGCAGCACCATGACATAGACAACAAAAGCTTGTAAAACATACAGCGATTATTCTTTCATAACTAGCACACACCAGCCACACACACGTCGCAATGCCTTCTATGTGCCCCTACATTACAGTGGCGTTATCGTTGGAAGCAAGCCAAAAGGGGTAAATGTATAAAGAGCAAAAAAATTTTTTAAAAATCATCCATGTCGAATGTAACTGAGGAGTTCTTCAATGAAAATGGTGAGGTGTATTACCTGGTTAGTGGTGTCAATAAGAAGTCAGTTTAAACCGTTATGGTGACTAATGTTTAAAAGACTGTGGAAGGGCTACTATATCGATGAAATTGCTTTTGAAATGAGTTGGCATTCATTAAAAATTCAACAAGGCTTACAGTCCACTAGCGGGTTCTGGTATTGACCAGAATTTTTACATCAAAAAATTGTATTAAGGTTTTAATCAATTATTGAAAGACTTTTAACTGTTGGTCAAATCCGCTATCAGTAATCATAGATTGCAGAAGTTATAGGAGATTCTAAATGAGCTTTGAAATTGTATGCAATCTTTTAACCCCTTGGCTCCTTATCATTATCTATTTTCACTACGCATACCTTATGAGATTTGCACTAGTTTCAATTTCCGATTCAAAAGGAATCTATATACAAAATTTCGTTTGTCAGTGCAATACCCTGTAAGACTATCGTTTTGTTCTTGCCGTTGATTTGCCATGCATTTCTTTCAGCGAGCGAGAGTAGAAACAAAAAAAAACCAAAAAAGAAAAAAGGAGTAGTCACCATGCACATATATATTTTATCTTTTGATGTTTTCAATTCATTGCATCCGCCAGTATGTCTGTATGTCTGTCTGTTTATCTCCCTTTTCTGTCTTATACAATTCTTTTCAACTAAACACACATTCGCATGGTTTGCATACATTTTGTGCTTTTCATTTGTCCGTCCGTCTATCTGTTTGCCTTGCTGAATGACAGTCTTTCAAAAAACGTTTTCATATATACTTTTTTATTTTCAATTGAATAAGTACATGCATATAATATTTCCACTGTTGCCGCAGTTATTATTGTTTTTTATACTTTACCTATTTTTATATACGTATATTCTAATTGTTTTCAACTTGTTTATTTTTTCAAAGTTTTCTGCTGTGCCGTGCCGCGCTTAGCTGCTTGCATTATTTTTCCTTTTGCCTTAAACAGCACAAATTAAACACACAACAAACAGTAGTAGCATAAATCCAAAATAGACACCTCTTTGCCGACGTTGTATCTGTCTGTCTATTTGCTTGCTTGCCTGCCTGCCTGCTTGTTTGTCCGCCCTACCGTCCGTTGTGGTACCGTAGTTGTCTTTCTTGGCCCCCTTCCCCACGTGCAAACAGCAATCTCTTCATTTACTTATGTTTTTTATTTTTTTTTATTTTTTCCATTTTCTTAAAATAACCACTTAATGCATAAGTACCGTGTTATATTTTGCTTGATTGCCTTCTTAATATGCCACAAACATTGTAACGTGTACATATGTAGGTACATGCATTCACATACTTAGCTATATAACGTAACGTACCTTGCTTGCTATGTGTGACTGTGCGTGCTTGGAAAGACATGTTGGTGCATTTTTTTGTCTTGTTGTTTACTTGTTTAATTCCTTCGACTAGTATCATGCATTTCCATTATAAGACATGATTGCCTCTTTACGTACGAGTGCATATCAATGTGTGTGCAAATATGTGCGTATAAGTATGAGATTCGCGTGCGTATACGTCTATTTACTTCTGTTTTGGCCACTTGAGCAGGTATCATCGTCATTTCATCCTTATGATCATCACATGTTTATCTATGTTTGTGTTTTGTAAACACCTCTTTTTTCATCTCTACAAAACTAAAAGCTAAAACACTTGCTATGGTTTCATTTTACTATCAGGTATTAATTTCACCAATTTATTATTATTATTGCTATCGTGTTTATTACTAAGAAAATCATGGCAATAACATCCGAGTAAATAAGTTGTCTTTTATGCTTCAACCGATTATTTTAATAGGCGAAATGATAGCCTATCGTTTGAATTTAATTCATTTTTTTTTTCTCTCTTCTTCCCCATAAAAGGTCTTCCCTTTCGCGTATTTGGATTTAATTAAAAAAAAAAAATAAAACAGTGACTACCGTCTTTGAGTCATCATCCATAAAACAGTCGTTGCCAAAAGAAAAAAAGCCATCATCTATCACTAAATAAACAAAATAAAATACTTTTGGAAATATTTGCTAAAGAAGTCATAGCCATTGTTAGAGTACATCCTCTAAAAAGCCACTTAATCATGTGAGCCATGAGTTTGTGTAATGTGCGTTGCTTATCGACTGAAGCGCGCAGGGTTCTTATTAAAGAGATTCGTACATTTTATTTCCATAAAAAAAGACCTTTGGCATTGCAGTCTCTGCTTCTTTGCATAAAACTTTTCAATTTAAACCATTTTGTCACTTAAGCGAAGGGTATTCACTCGTGTTATTTCATTTCAGTTTCGTTTTCCCTTTCCTACAAGGTCTCCATATAGGAATGTGTGTGTATGTTGGTAGTCAGAGGCGGCCTAGGTTTGCTTAGTGCATAACACAATCCCTTTCATAATCTTCACCGTAATAAGGTGTTGTTCTCACTTAGCGTGAGATTCAAGGACAACATCACCATCTTTTTTCGCCGTGTGTCATAGGGACACTTTTATAGTTGCGAAAATTTGGCAAAGCCTATCTTCATCAAGAACTGCGTGTAATGGCTGGCACTAATTATGAATTCCCTGCAAAATGCATGCTATAGTTAACCCCTTTGGCACGAGTGACGTATATGTACGGCAGTCACTCATTGTCCGCCGTCGCGAAACGCCGCAAAGGTTAAGAGAAGTACGATCAATAACGTATAAATGAACGATGGAATATGTCGTACACAAACACTTATAAAAACCACGCTTTTAATGTGACGTCATACAATGGCTTCTGCTCAAGTAACACGTAGACGGTGAGAAAGGAGCGACGGAAGGGAAAGCAGTGGTCGTAGCATAGTGGGTGCACGTCCAATCCGTAAGTATTACAACTCAGCACTCGGCTTAGCTACGACCAAAGTAAACTGTTCCGCACGTGAGATTTAATGAAAGAAAGTTATAATGATCGCATAACGAAAGGTTGTGAACATATGTGATCGAATTCGCCTCGAAGCCGACACTCTTATCCGTGCGGGTTCCTTAGAAATATAATCTGCACCCCGGATATGAACAAATATGAATTTCAACTATGTTCGCCCTTGCTTCTGTAAGTTGGCCGTTTTTTTAAAAGAAAAGTTGCTGCTTATTCCCTACACCTACTTCTCTATGTGGTCTTGCAGTACGCTGCACTGGAACAAAATCTACAAATTGCTGCTGCATATACTCCTACAGTGCACTTGGTTTGAACAAATATGAACTTCATCTTCCGTCCGTCCTTCCTTCTGCAAATTGTTGCAATTGTAAAGAAAAAAGTCGCCACTTACTCCTATTTACTCTCTTCTATATACACCTTTGCGAATATATTGCATTAGCACGCTGCGTGTGAGCAAACATGAATTTCAAACATTTCCGTCCTTTCTTCTGTTAGCTATGCAAATTTTTTAAAGGAAAAATTGGTAACCATTTCTACTTGCTCCTCTGTATGCTGCTACAGCGCGCTTGATTTGAGCAAAGGTGAATTTCAATTATGTCCGTCTTCCCTTCTCTATGTTGTTGCATTTAAAAAAAAAAAAGTTACCACTTACTCTTATTGCTCTCATCCATATGCGCCTTCATTAGAAACATATTCAGCGCACTAGCTTTGATGAAACATCAATTTCAACTATACTTGTCCATCCTTCTGCAAGTTGACCGATTTAAAAAAAAAAAAGGCCATCTATTCCGACCTGCTTCTCCATATGCTCCTATGCGAACATATTTTGGAAATGTCCACTTGTGGTGAACATATTTGGATCAAATTGATTTATTGTTATAATTCGATTTCCAAAAAAGCGGTTTTTCTTTTAAGGAAAGATGTTTTAAAAATTTGCGCTCATACTTTAAAAACATTTGTCATCATTCTTGATCACTTCTTCATTCCATCTTCTTGTTTCTCATATATGGTCATTGCGAATGATTAGCTATTTTTGGTTCGTCTTTAGGAAATGTTGAGTGTTTACTCTTAACACACTTTGTTCTGAGGTTAAAAACTTTTCCTAAATGCATGACTGGAGAAAGTGCGCGTTAGGAAATAACAAAAAAGTGTTCTAAAAACCAGATGAAACGGACGGAAAACAGACATTTTAAAGAAAGCGATAGTCGTACGTCTGAGCAACGATTATAAAAGCAGACCTTTTGTTCGAAGATTCGCTTATAGTAAATACGGCAGTTGCTTAAATGCAGTTATATAATATCTTCTTACGCGTCGCAACTAAGAAACTATTTTTACTCTTTCCTGTTCGTTTTGGGGGCCCGGGCTTAACCACCCCAACGTTTTCATAACGCTTGTCACACACGTACACGTACGTACATATGGGAGAGCGTGCTTATGTGAATTTCACTATTTAAACGCAGTAGCTATAACATTGTTGTAATTGTGTGCATTGTAGTTGTTGCGTTGTTGTGTTTTCCGTACACAAAACTATGAATCATCGAGCATTGCAAGATGTCATTGAACGTTATTATATAAATGGTTATGTTAGTAATGGTGCGATGGTGGTTTTACAAGGATGTGAATGTAAAAATATTTTGAATTATATATACATACATACATACATACATATATACGTACATATAAGTGAATAGCATTTATACATGTATATAATCTCTATATAACGTCCGTATGCACAAAGCAAAAATATTAAAATTAATCTAAAAGAAATGGAAAAAAACAAAAACAAACAGAAAAAAAAGGATGAACAAAACCAATTTCATTTCTCGCCAAAAACAAAGCGAAACCGAAATTATAGCTTAATATACTTGTCGCAGGAATCATTGTGTCCGTCACTCACTAAAATTCGAATGCTATTCAATTTTTTTTCTTTCTTCACAAACTTAGTATCAAATAAATATATATATATATATTTGTATTTTATTATACTCCGGTATAATTATTCTTATCTTTATTTGTTTCATTATTCATCGATTCATATGCTTACATATTTATAAATACATTTATATTTATTTATCATCATTTATATGAGGTATGGGGTAATGGATCTCTCGCTCTTCGCTGTGCACTCTTTTGATCTCAGTTTTCCAGTCTACAAGTTATTTAACTTATATGATCTTGTTTCACTTTTTTATACGTTTTCATAATCGTGATTGAGGAATAGAAGCATACAAGCTTTATGCTAGCGTTTGCAACTTCTAGGACACATATTTGATTGCATTACGAGAATCTTGATTGAAAAAAAAACACAGTGATCCGCCATGTCACTTGTAGTCTTCAATGGATATTCGACCAAAAAAAAAAGCTAGTTAACCGAATATGGCCCGAAATGGGTTAACAGGTTGAATCAAGCTTTTCCACAATCTCCAAAAGTTATCGAAGCAGCATTTTGCTCTGAGATGATCTTGGCAGTATCGGCCAGAGCGAGGCTTGTCAGAAAGATCGAAATCATCTATTTGAAGTTTCTCGAGCCATCTTCTGCTTATCCTATTAGAAACTATGCCTTCACCGCTCGCTTTCAATAAAATTCCCGACATTTCTTCTTTGTTGAAATTCGCACAAAACACAGTGGCCCAAACGAGCTTTATCCATAGCAGCCGTGAGTACAAGATCGCATCTCGCTTACTACTAACGTGAATAATCTTCGCTTCAGTTCAACTGTTGAGGTCAGCTCAGAGGGAGTTTAAAAATCTGCCTCAAATGGATACTCGCGTACTTGTTGAAACTTGTTTTAACCGGAACGAAAAGAACTTCCGTAATACATCGACGGATGATTGTAGAAAGATTTCCAATCAATCAAGTATACAAAAGAGTGGGGTAATCCCGATGCATTGATTTAAAATGATGGGTATCTAGAAGCTGGCTTCACGGAAACATTTTTCGTTTTTTTTTTTTTTTTTTGTGTTTGCTGTTCGTGTACACTCCGTATGCTTGCGTAGACAGAAGCACATGTATATATATACATATAAATATTTGTAATATAATATAGTCGCCTAAACAATGATTGTTATCAACATTGTGTTATATCAGTGATATGTGAAAATTGCAAAACTGACCAAATGTCAGGCAAGCTAGACCATTAAATACCCTACCTTATCCGATCAAATATTAGTCTAAATTAATTTTGAAGGGATCACTGATATAAGAGGCAGAAGTGGGCTGAATTTAGAGAGTCACGTTTATATTCCAAACAACTATTCTTGTCTTTCTCAATTTTCATCATAAAATATTTAAAACGATACCTTACAGCGCCGCAAAAACGACTACAAGGGACATACTATAAAAGAATTATCCGTTCATTCCACACAAACATCCCGTATTCATTTAATGAATCAAAATATGATTTTCACGATGTTTCAGACCCAACTTCATCGCAATACTTTGAAAGTTACGACCCGTGTGACAGATCGATACGGTTCAGTGGGACAGGCGGAGAGACAGATAGATGTAAATGTGTTCAGAAAGTGATTACGAATCGATTGTTAAAGTGAAGGATACGTATCTGTCGAGACCTCTTAAGTGTATATCGGAATACAAGTTACGTCTGGGCATTTAAAACTTTCGACAGAAGGATCGATCGCATGCGAATTTGCTAGAGAAGCCTAAAATAATCATGAAAAAGAATATTTCTAATGGGGACCCTGTCAGTGCAAATTTCCAAATGAGACGGTGCGCTGTGTTTTGTAAATAGCGCAATAGAGATAAACTTGAATTTTTTAATTCAAAGTTGAGAGATGGACGGAATTCTTATCACAGGCACATTCCAGAATAGAAGAAAACTAATTGGGATTCGATTTAAACATACGTCAACTCATCCGCAATTTATTCCTTTGTTTCAATTAGTTTCCACGTAAGTGGTCCGTGGCGAGTCCGTATTCGGATTGTACACCTGAAATCTCTTTAAGAGTATTAGACTCAATATTCAATCGGTTAGTTTTGGTATTTTGAAACTTTCCCGAAGAGTATGTATATGCTTCAGATATACTTCAGAGAAGTTTTATTTATGGGAGTTACAAAATTGGTCTTATTCGGTCGAATACGATCGTTCTGTAATAGATAAGATAATAGAAACGCAACACACGTTTTACTTAGATAAGTAAACTTAGACAACATATAAGTAAAGAGGAAGCAAATAAAAATTATATTTTTTTTATATACCCTACACCGATTGTATTGCAAGAATGTATTAAGTTTGTGCGATGCCCCCAGACGGACTTGAGAGATAGACCCACCTTGTATTAAGCCGATTGATTCAGAATCACTTTCTAATTCCATCTAAGGTTGTCTGTCCGTCTGGCCGTGCTGTTTTCTTGTGTTCAACTTACAGCAACCTCTCAGACATTTTGATAAAAATTTACTCCACTTATGTGTTTTTGTTCAAGCTATTCTCATATAACGGCTCATTTGAAAAAGTGGTTTATAAATAAGTTTTGGCGGAGTATTTATCTTTATATTTTATTTGATTACAAGTCGTATATTCAAAAAGTTTTGCAATATCTGTTTATATGGCTTAGGTTCTATATATATATTAAATAAATTTATATGAGAAATGATCTTAAAATCGTACATTTCTTAAGCTATGGTTAATTCCAGATATAATAGTAATAACCAGTTCCTTTGAATCCATTTAACAGCATTTACACTTTAATCACTTCAAATGTTTTATTTTTCAAGGGCAAAGCTACTTATGAAACAAGTAAAAGAGAAAAACTTAAAAATAAATAAATGAACGCGAGCAGTGACGATTGTTGTGCGTAAAAGTATAAAAAAGAACATATATGCACACTGTTAGAAAGCAATAGCTTACCGGTCAATGTATAAAAAAAATTTACTATTCCAGGTCCTTTTCATTAAATCTGAAAAAGTGCAGTGCTAAGTATGTCCAGCGAGGAAGACAAACCTCCAGCTCCACCTGTTCGTTTGACAAGCAATAGAGGCGGTGACCGCGTAGGCGGGGGCATTACAGGTGGTGCCTCCGGCGATGCGCCTGCTGTGGATATGAAACCTCTACCGAAAGGTTTATTCATTGTCGCTATAACTGTTCAGAATCATTTCTGAATTAAATGTAAATTTTTTTAATTCGTTTAGAACCCGACGATCCCGATCGCAAGAAAAAGACTTTAAAAAATAAGATTAAAGGTTCCAAGCCTTCACATCAAGATTCCAAACCTAATATATCGTATCCTACAAATTTCGAGCATACCGTGCACGTGGGCTTCGATGCTGTTACCGGCGAATTTACGGTAAGTTATGTTAAATAAAAAACCTTTTTTTTTTTTGATAATTTTATTTTATTAAGAACATTTTTAAACGAATGCCTTTTGAAAGAGCGACTTTTGCTGTGAAATGAAGAAATGTTTTCTCTTCATCCTTCTCCGATGTTTTCTTCTTTTCTTTTTCATTTCTTTATTATTTTTTTTTTTTTTTTTTTTTTTTTTTTTTTTTTTTGTTTCTCTTCTACTTCATTTACCGTAACTGTTATCACTCATAGAAAGCCAACAACAACGGCTATATCTCGTTATCAGATTAAAGCTCATTATATGCAAGTCTGTTAAGGTTGCGGTTAATTGTTGACAATTTCTTTGCCCACATATGTTTAGTTCTAGTGTCTTTTCATTAGTCGCTTGGTTTGGAGCAAGCTTTCCTGCAAAATTTCATTCAAAACGTTTTCATTCGTTGGGAAAATATAATACAATGGAGGTAAACAAAAAAGTAAAACACGGAAGAGGAATTAAAATGGACATAAAGAATGAGATGATAAACTGAAGACACATGCATTTTATTGCAAGTGTAAATATTTTTAATAAATCAGTCACTAGTTGTTCATATAGTGAGCAAATAACTTAACACTTAACACTTAACACTTGTCAGTTGCATATTAAAAAGTTGTCTATTTATTATTTACATGGAGATTATTGGGATTAGAACCTACACATGCCTTCTTGGTAAGGTAGTGCCCCCTGTGCCATTAAATTGGTGAGAATTTGCAAAAGTATCTAAATCTAGCCCATTTGGGATTTTGCATTGGAGCAATCGAAGCGCTGAGACTCGTTCCAGATCGGTTAAAGTTTCGGGGTTTGGATTTATTGCGCTGTCTGTCTGCCGTTTGTGGAAACGTTCAACACCAAACCTAAATAAGAAGTCACGAAATCCATTGCATCCTCTTCCGTTATCTTTAAAAAGAAAAACTATTTACTTGGTGGCCATGGCAGATTTTTTTCCATTTTTGCACAGAGACTGTAGCACGACTTATAAAATCTATTTGCACATTTTCGTCACTTTATCTGTTGTACTTTACGAGTGGCGAGGAAAACCACAATGGTTTTGCTTTTAACAGGAATCTAATCCTCTTTCAATACCGACCTACCTATAAGAACTGGCAAATTCTTTGCGAAAATGGAAGCCGATATTTTCGATTGAACGGCGATGACTAATTAGATAGTGATATAGTATGGATGATATACGTAGGCTAGGACTTCCTTTCGGATATGGTAAACGCTGTGACAAAATGAACATGCCCCCATTCTTTTGGTGGGGAGTATGAATAGATCACAATTCTTAAAAATGTCTCCGTTATGTCGAACACTCCGAACCGCACTGGGACCTCAGAGCAGGTTAAATATTTCAATGTATTTTATTCAATATTCCAGAAACTAAACTCGTTGAAAGTTCAGAATGAAAGCATTTGGAGTCGGCAATGCTACTCGCTCCTAACTTTTAATAAAATGGAAATCTTTGATATTCCGCAAGTGCCCACGCAAATTAGAGCTGCTCGAGAAACGTATTAAAAGGACGCCTGCTGCAAGAACGTTCCTTGCCACGAATTCAAATGTGTTATGTATAGAGAATGAAGAAATGCGATATATTATATTTGGTGTAGATTCTGGGAAGCTAATAAACACAATTCAATTATCATTTGATTCTTATTCCGACATGAATAAACGGAGAGATAATCACCACTGTCGCACTTCGAATCTCAGTCCGTTAAAGCAGCTCGTTTCCCTACCCCTTTTGTTTTCTTCTTCTTGCTGGCCGTCACCAGAGGACATCACCTGAGCGATTAATAAAAAAAAAAAAAAAAAATAAGTCCTTTCGGTTGACTTGTTCCTGATTACATTGATTACAGCTTTTTCTGCTAAAAGAGCTTACAGACCCGAAATATTGCTATTAGTTTTACCCAAACTTGTAACGAAGACATGAGCAGGTGCTGGCGCTCGATTAACCCAGAAAGTGTATCAAGTGCCATTTTATGGAAATAATTCCTCCAAGTTCGGTTGCTACTCTACCGTGCTGGAAGTAGTAAATAATTTACGCCCATTTACATTAAATTTCATAAAGCGTTGAGCTGACTTTTAATTTCTTCTTTATTTCTCGTTTTTTTTTTTCTTTTTTTATATATACAGACACCTACATATATATGTATGCGCATTTACATACATATATATATATGTACGCATTTTATATGCTTTTTATGGCTCATTTGCATATTTATTGTCTGCAAGAACAAAAAAAAAAAAAATGCTGCAACAATTTTCAATTGTTTTGTTGCTGGCATATCGAATACAAAAATACAAATATAATCAGCAACAAAAACTAAAAACCTAAAAAAACAAGCAAAAAAAAAAAAAAAAAAAAAAAAACAAAGGATTTTTTTTTTTGTTGTTTTTTTTGTATATTATTTGAAAAAAAAAAAAAAAATGTTTTTTCCCTTTTATTTTTCGTCTTCTTTTCTACTTTCATTCCAAGCTGCCAATGAAAGTAAGTATTTTAGTTCTCCTTCTCAAACTCAAAGAACTCTTTCGCATTCGCATTCGCAATTCATACCCTCGCCTCACACACGAACCAGACACTCATGCACAGATAAAAATCATTTCGGATTTACACAGTAGAGAAAAAATAAACCCAACTTTTAAACGCTACTCATCCTATTTTGCTGTTGATTTATTTATATCTCAATCCTTAATTAAATTGGTAATAATGTATAGCAACTTGAATTAGTTGACTTTGGCTTATATGGCTTTTTTTTCCTTTCCTTTCTGTTCCGTTTCGAATTTATTCAGTTTGCCATTAAACCATTTAAATATTAAGCTAATAAAAATTCTGACAACCAATATCCGAAAAAGAGTAGGCTATGACAGAAGAGGATTATTTCAAATTAGAAAAATCTAAAGACCTTTCCACGTCATTTGACAAAGTACTTTAATAAACACTCATCATGACAAAGGTATGCTAACGAAAAGATGTTAAATAGGGTAAGCATAGCATTTAAGGCTTTGCTGAACAAACTCACCACCAGGAAATATCGATTTTGTTTTCATTTTTACTCAAAGCCCTTCTCCCTAAGTAGGCGGGGAATAAAGGGCCTCGAAATGTAGTCTAAAAATCAACTCATTCGTATAGTTTGATTTCGCGAAACGAAGGGATTGTATTTATTTCATTGAATTAGTTCAGATATTGGCTTAGCTTGGGAAAGAAAGAAATTTCTTGAATATAAACAAAAGGCATGAAATTCAATCCAGATAATTTCTGTCTGTTGAAGCGAGTGCTAATAGAGTATTTGCTCTGAGCGATTTTCCCCCAACATTTCTCCGCGGCAGATGTGGCCACCACAATAATTGAAAGAGTTTTAGTCGAACGCGGAAGCATTCCTGGCTACGTGGTTTAAGGGTTGACGTATAGATGACAACGATTGGTCACATAACGATGCTGGTTATTATTAGCTGTGCCCATAAATTTCTTCCGCTCAAATTGATTGCTTTCTAAGACGTAACTGATGTGTTCATTTTCAGATATAGATGACGTAGATACCAGTATTTGAACAGATCGCTCTGAGGGGTGTAACGTCCGCAACTGGCTTGATGCCTTAATCAAACGGGTTGCCTACAAGCATAGGCACTTAATTAAGTTGAGTGATCACCCCTCAGGGGGAGAGACAATCCCCTAATAAGGGGGCCTCTCTTATCGGTATTTGATCAATGGAATTCTTAATTGTTCACAAGTTGTTTCCTTTTCAGAATTTTTAATTGGGTTAACTTAGAAGAAAAATTGAAGCCGAAGTTACGGAAATGATTAAATTGGCTTTGGAATGAAAATGCAGTAAGCTACGCAACAGCAACAGTTTTTCAATGAAAATTCGCGTTCGTCTTTCCGTTGGCCACAGAAAGAACCAATATAACCATAATTTTCATCTTAGTTTGCGAAATTTTACCGCACCTATTATACTCTCCGGATCTGACCCCTTCCGGGTATCACTTATTCACATAGCGGCTCAGCCGTTCATAGAAATGAAAGATGCATGAAATTAGGTCGATGGCTATTTCACTTCCAAACCGGCAAGTTTGCACTACGAGACGGTAGACAATAACGAAGTATAGTTCGGCGATCAAGCTTCGTAGCGGTTATATTTCAAGTAAAGTTGAATTTTATCGAAAAATAGCACACTTTACATGCGCGTTATCGAAAATTTAAGAGTGAGAGCAAGAGAGAGCAACGTTGTCAATTATATAAAAGAACGCTTGGACACCTCCGCGGCTCGCTTGACCGTATAATATCAACTTTAATTAGTCTTGTAATAATAGCTAATCATTAATATTTCATAAAATAAGCGCATATCCACTAGTTTTTGTGTATCTCGATTCGTTTTCGCCATAGAAGCATTAAAGTGAGGTGGAAGAAGCTAAGCTTGTACTAATTACTTATGCTTATGTTCAATAAAAAATGATAATGTATTTCCTGCGAATGCAGATAATAGCTTGCCAATCAATGCTTATTACTAAAGCTTACGTCTACTCCTATTTGAATGGCAATAAAATATTTAATGAAGTATGTTTGAAGAAATGTTTGCTTCAATTATCTGCGGAAGGAGAGCAAGAGACCTGAGAAGCCGTGAAACGAATTTTATATACCTATCGAATGTGTATCCTTTCGTTTGCAAGCCTAGCGTATAAGCGAACCTGATTGCGAGTTTCTAGATCAATGCAGACTATGGTTATCTAAAAAGGGAAATAACCAAGGTTCGACAGCTTTGGCATAATTGCAATCAATTGACTGTCAGCGATTTTGAAAATTTTTTTTGGTATATGAGTTCTTCCTCTTGCCCCTTGACGAAATAAATTTTCCTGTGTAATCTCGGGAGATATGCAAAACGGTTTACAATAAAGTCAAGAGCATCTTGAAGACACGCATGCCTTTCAAAATTTTCAATATATAGATATCCAGATGTTACAAGTAGAAGGAAGAAAATAGCATACCACATGAAATGAAAGCCGATACAATTTTAGTTTCAAAAGAAACTTGAAGAAAGCACATATGAGTAATTAAATCTCCAAACGAAGAAAATATATTTGCATTCATTAAATAAAATATTAAGATTAAAAGGCGTTAATTAGCGAGTGCATGTAATATGGAAGTTTGTAGGGTATAAACAATTCATTAATTGGTTAATTCACTTACTTGGAAGGAACACAAGATTCAGCGGAAAATCTGTGTTCTTTAAAAATGAAATTGTTGAAGAGTTGAAGAGACGTCAAAGTTTCATAATCGCATATAGCAAAATGTAAGGAGGTAAAATAATCATGATTGCCTCACCAACGTAGTAGTGCTTGTAGAAAACCGCTTATGCAATTATTCATAAACAAACAATTAAATGGAAAGGAAGGAGCTGGAGAAACCTGGACAGATTTTTATTCATGAATTGAATGTTGGTTTGCCATAAAACGGAAACATATTATTAAATAAGAGGAAAGAGTTTCATCCACGCCCTTCTGCCGCTTCCATGTTTATGAATATTAATTAATGAACTAAACTTAGTTAATATTTCTGAACAGCTTAAGCACAATTCTCCCCAACCATCTTCATCTTCTTCATTCACCGTCATTCATGTTTTCTTCCGTAGCTAGTAAAAATCTAGCTCTTGTGTTTGTCTATGATTATCTAAACGACCTTAGTGAAAAAAAAAATAATGTAATCGTAATAAGTTAACGATAAATTTATTATACAAATCTGGATAATAGTTCATTAATTATCAATTTTTTTATATGTCTTTTTGAATGTCATTGCAGGGTATGCCGGAAGCCTGGGCGCGTCTGCTTATGAATTCAAATATAAGCAAGCAAGAACAAAAGAAAAATCCTCAAGCTGTTCTAGATGTGCTTAAGTGGTTTGACAATACAACCAAGCAAAGGCCAAGTTCAAAATACATGACAAATGCCATAACTACACATTCGGGTAAATATATCAATCAGAGAGTTCCATATTGAATTTTATTCATTTTAACGAAACAATTTTTTCTTTTTTTTTTTTTAGGATCTTCATTGAGTCGTGTAAGCAGCAGCAGTCCAAGTAGTACGCCTACCGATTCCGAATTGCACGGCTCGAATAGCGGCGGCAACTTAATAGGAGTTAATTTGGGCAGTTTAGCTATTAGTTCCAATGCCAACAGTGGCTCTCTACCTAACTCGAGTAGTTTGTTAACAGGCGGTCTTGGCAATCATCATCCCCCTGCTTTACACGGTCATCACGGACAGCAGCATCATGTCACCGCAATTAATACGATTAGTCAATCGCATTCTTATAATTTCGGTGGCAATACGGCTTCGTCGTCTTCGCAACATTCATCAGCTAATGAGGACGATATTCTCGGCACTCCGCAGCCTCCGCCTCCACCTATCGCATCACGTCCCGAACGTACGAAATCGATATACACCCGACCCATTGAAGATATTCAACAGCCTGCATCAGCTTTAACACCATTACAGCCGCCGCCACCAACTGCAGCACCTGCAACTACACCTACAACACCACAGCATAACAATGTTGCTCAAGCGCAATACAAAACAACAGCCAGCACTGTGGCGGGCACAACAACTACGCTAGATAAAAATAAGAACAATGCAAGTGAGTACACCCGAAATGAGCGAAATAGAGCAAAACGAAATTGGCCATCGCAATAGCAATAGCAGAATAGGGCAGAATTTGTGGCAAGGGTTTAACGTGGGTTCCTGCCTGTAAGGCTTAACCCCACGGTGGCCCAAACCACTTTTAAGCGTACTACGCCCCCTGGCGAGTTAGACAATCCCCACAGAGTAGGGGCCTAAACAGCACCAGAGTCCAGAATAGTTTATTGTGTATGGAACAATAAACCCCACTCTGGTGAATGGCGAGGCCTAGCTGCACTCAATTGTTCCATTTTAGCTAGGAACTCGCCAACCACAACCACCACGAGTACTCCCCGAAGGGCCGCACCCAAGCAGTCAGGACTCACAAATTGATCAACTGACTGCTTCCGCCATAAGGCTTCCACTGTGCTTGTTGATCAATTACCACCATTACCCGCAGGCATCCGTGACATGTGTTCATTGCATGTATTAATTAATTTACCAGACATTTTCTTTCATTCGGCCAAAGGGAAAGCCGTCCGTCAATTCCTTTTTGCATAAATAGTGTAATTAATTTATTTATTTGTTACGACTTAAGAACAAAGTTAATTTACCAAGCATTTTCTTTCAATCGGCCAAAGGGAAAGCCGTCCGTCAATTCCTTTTTACATTAATAGTATAATTAATTTATTTATTTGTTACGACTTAAGAACAAAGTCCATCATATACCCGCAGGCATACGTGGCTTAGTGAGGCGAGCTTCCTGACCCCCGTGGCTCCCAGTTTATTTTGCAAAGCCTTATGGCATACTTTGGGCGTTTGTTAAAAACAACCGTACTTGCTTCGGATCCTCCATACTTTCCTGGTAGCTAAAACCAATGAACTACTTTTCTTCAAGATATATAGGTCTCGGGTATTGCACTGGACATGGCAGACAATCTAATGCACTCTACCATGCACTCGCTAGATTACTACCTTCATTGTACTTAAAACCCATTCAGTATATTTACTCGGTAGTAACTAGCTTATTGAGTAAGAGCTCTTCTTCCAGCCAACCCCTCCACCATCTATCAGAAACTCGTCGCCCAAAACCTTAAACTCTTCTTAGCCGGCCGAAGCCGTTGCCCGGGGATCACCGCTGGGAGGTGAGAGTTTCGGCACATCTATGCTTCTTATCAAAGCATAGTTCATCTCCCCAGCAGAGTAGGGCAGCAAGAGAAATTTGAATTTAAACACAAAACTAACGTGAGTTCAGACAAATGTGAAAGTTTTCAATAAGAATTTTTGTTTCGCCAGCCCCTCACTTGTCGACTTGGATTTCAAAATGACATGTAATTTTGACAGTTTACTTTAAAAGTCGATAATCGGAAATAGTGATGGAACAAGCTCGACTTTATGGAGTTCTTTCTTCTGAAAGCCTATCTTATTCTGATCTTATCCATCTGATAGATGTACATTGGCGACTAATTGCAAATTGCAAATTGGTCCCACTTTTACATTCACCTTCCTAGAGTACACTCATTGAGTCAGCCCCTTTTTATTATCCGGCAATTAGTGCAAGAAGAAACTCGATCATGCTCATAATTGGTAAAACACTGATTTCATTTAGTTACATAAGTGACTAAATTAATTCTTGATAAGACTCATACAGTTGTGAAGAACTAAAGAAATAAAAGTCCACATTACTGCCCCACTCAGCTAGAAAATCAAAAATGCTTTAAAAAAAAAAAAAAAAAAAAAAACGCTTTAATGATATGAAAATTTCTATACATTTTTAATTAACACATTTTTAAAACACGATTGTTGTTGTTATTATTATTATTATTACTTTTACACTGTTGCTACTAACACAACGCTATCACAACCACTATTGCTAAAAATAATACAAAAAAAAAAAAACGAAAAAAAAAAATAAAAATATAATAAAATGCAGCAGCTGGAACTGGAGCTGATGATGCAGCAGCTTCCACACTTCAGAGTATTGCTCATTATGCTACTACCACTACTACTAGTACCATACATACCACTACTACTACTACCATAGACCCGAATGTCTCCACTAACAATCTATTATTACTAACGACTACTATCACTACTAATGCTTGTGCAGTCAATATGACTGTTAATACGAATTGTTCTAGTATTAGTTCTCAATTGCCATATATCGATTGTAATGCAATCGCAACTACAAGAACAACAATAACAACGATTAATCACGATTCTTCTGCTTCCTCCTTTTCATCGTTTCCCTCGTATCATGACGGCCATCCATTGCCACCCATCTATTGCCCTTCATCATCTTCCTCTTTGATTGGCGGCGAATCGATAACAATGCCAACACCGCCATTGCCCACACCGATTGGTAATGCACCATCCGGTTTAATTGGCGATCCTATAACAACTGTCACACCGGCTACACCCGATGCCTCGTTTGTTGATGCTAACGCTGACGCGGATGTGTTCACATCTTCTACAGATTTATATGTGCATGACGCGAACACTAACAATTTGACGGCTACTGCGGTGGCGGCAGCCATTTCAACAGTTAGCGGCGGAGCGATAAGCACTAATACGGCAGCGGCTACTGTTACTCCAGCCCCAGTTGCTAATATTGCCGCTACCGCCACTAGCAATACTCCAACTACTCAGCAACGTTCAGGCGCCACGAAAAAGAAGAAAATGTCCGACGAAGAGATATTAGAGAAACTACGTACCATCGTATCGGTGGGTGATCCGAATCGTAAATATACCAAAATGGAAAAAATCGGTCAGGGCGCATCGGGCACTGTGTATACGGCCATTGAATCATCTACTGGCATGGAAGTGGCTATAAAACAAATGAATCTCTCTCAACAGCCCAAAAAGGAACTGATAATTAATGAGATTTTGGTAATGCGAGAGAATAAACATCCAAATGTCGTCAATTATTTGGACAGTTATTTGGTGTCTGAAGAGCTATGGGTAGTTATGGAATATCTACCAGGTGGATCCCTAACGGATGTTGTAACTGAGACTTGTATGGACGAGGGACAAATAGCCGCTGTGTGTCGTGAAGTATTGCAGGCTCTTGAGTTTCTACACTCCAATCAGGTTATACATCGTGACATTAAAAGTGATAACATACTATTGGGCTTAGACGGTTCCGTAAAATTGACTGATTTCGGTTTCTGTGCCCAGATCTCGCCAGAGCAATCGAAACGCACAACTATGGTTGGCACGCCGTATTGGATGGCCCCGGAAGTAGTCACCCGAAAACAATACGGACCTAAGGTAAGTCAAGCTTGCCAATCTTATAATTTTGTCCAAAGTCATACATCTACTGACTATTACTGAGTTGTGATCCGACCTTGGCCTCTTAACGAGAACTTATGAGTAGCTTATAAACTATTCTGCAAATACGCTCAACCATGTGTAGTACTAGAGGAGAGCCAATTTTGGTTCTCGCAATGTTTAGCCGAACAGTGGAAGACATATAGTAAAGGTCCCTAGTGCTGTTTCTTTCCTAAATTTATGACAATAACGTGTTCATACCCATAAAAGCTGTGGACAACGAAATTCCAACTCTTCGTCAAAGCAAAAATTGTTGATAAATATATTAAAAACGGTTAACAAATTTCAGGTTGATTTATGGTCTCTCGGTATAATGGCCATTGAAATGGTTGAAGGTGAGCCGCCGTATCTCAATGAGAATCCTTTAAAAGCCTTGTACCTCATTGCCACAAATGGCAAACCCGAAATTAAAGAAAAAGAAAAACTTTCGCCAGTATTTCAAGATTTTCTCGATCAATGCCTGGAAGTCGATGTGGATCGGCGTGCCGGCGCATTGGAGTTACTTAAGGTAAGGCGAAGTCCAATGTAACTTCTGGAACACTCATATGGATTATAATAATAATAATAATAATAATATCTTACAGCATCCATTTTTAAAATTGGCCCGACCTTTGGCCAGTTTAACGCCTTTGATTATGGCTGCCAAGGAGGCCACTAAGGGCAACTGATTAAAGCAACAACATTGATTTATGTTAAAACTTTTTACTTAATTCTTGTTTTTCACTATTACAATAACAACAAACGCAAGGAGAAAAAACCATCATATTAATATAAATATAGAAATAAAAAAAAAAAAAAAAAGGAAAAGAAATACAAGAAAACAATAACGAAAAGTATAAAAACAACTTTAAAAAAGAAAGCAACAATAAATATAATGCAGTTATATATAATAGATCTATTTACAGTGAATAATATATATATATATACATATATATGTATATACATATATATATAAAAAGTAGTGTTATGTATGTATGTATATGTATTCATACTGAAAATAAGACAAAGTAATCCGAATCGTGGAAATTATGAGAAAAAAAAAAATAAATAAATAAAAACAAAAATAAAAAACAATAAACATTAAAATAAGTTAGAACGGAAAAATACAAAGGAACTTGGAAGCCACACACTCACATACACACATATAAATAGTTATAAAATGATATATATGTAAAATGAGAAGAATGATTATTAATATTAAAGAAAAACGAAACGAAACAAAACAATAACAAAACTAGGTAAAAAGGCGTTAAGCACCGTGTATTTTTTAGAAACAAAGCGAAACCAGAATGTCTTTATTATTATTATTATTATTATTATTATTATTACTCTTATTATTATACTTATAAATATATTAAAACTCTACAACCCTTTCTCCCTCCCTCCCTCCCTCCCTCCCTCGACATAATAATCAAACACTAACATACGTATACATACATAACGAAACATATACATTTAATTAATTGATTACAATGTGAAATTAATTGTATTTTAGTTTGCTTGAATCATTTTATTTTCTTCTTCTTTTTTTTTTTTTCATTTGAAAACATTTCCACTCAATCCAAATACTACAAATGTTTATTTGTCTCCTTCCTCTCTCACGTAAATCATCATTTCAAGTCAAATCATATAAATTTTTTTTTTTTTTTTTTTTTTTTTATATATATATATATATTTTAAAAAACGGTCGATATATTTTTTTTTTAACGAGCGGTCATGTTTATGCTTATGTTTTTTATATATATATATACGTATTTAGTAACGCTTGATGTCATCTTAATTATTTTGTAACAAATAAACTGACTTTTCCGTTTCTATACGTACTACACGTATTAGTTTATGTAGTAAACGTAAAAATTGATTGCAACTACTACATATAAATAATTTTTTTATTTTATAATTTTTATAATATTTTAGCATTTTAAATGCTTTCTTTTTTTTATTTCCTTGATACTTATTTTTCTTTTCATTTGAGACGATTGAATAAATTAAAATGATTAAATATTAAATAAAAAATACAAAAGCATTTATGCCTAAATACCTTGTTGCACTTATTGTATCATTGTGTCGACTAACCAATAGCGCGGCTACGAAGAGCAACATTCATTTTATTCCCATTCAACATGTGCCGAAATTTTCAAAAGATGCAGTAATCATATGTGATTCACTTATATTCTCTCCCCCTCTCTCTCTCCCTCTAATCAGGATATTTGGAATAAATTGGGATGGTTGCTCTTAAAGGTCCCTTGCGAATATGAAAATATACTGCTGATCAAGTTTTAAACTTGAGGCTTGCGGCTGAATGTAACAAAAATTAAAATACTTTTACTTATTCTACGTAATGTTCAATGGCTTTAAAATTCACAGCCAACTTTGTAGCAGTAATAGGCTATTAGAAGAGCGTTGGAATGCTGAGTCGTTGTGGTGAAGAGTTTAGTTGGTCGACATATCCCTTTTAGCTTGCCTATGTACCTATAAATAAGCATCATACAGCCCAAATTATGTGAACACATTTTGGCTACCCATGAACACCTCTTGTTGTATGCGGTGCAGGATCGCCAAACAGGATTTCAGAACTCCCTGAGTTATACTCTAATTTTGGCTGAATATAGGCCGTGTAAATGGTACGGATATCGGCTGCAGTAACGAATTTTATTGCATCATTTTAAGAGACCAAAGTCCTTGATTGCACACTCTATATATGTGCTCTGTCTGTTTATTTCTTTCTCTATTAGTTTAGCTCCATTCTAATATTTTTGCGACATTTCGATTTAACGTTGTTGACTTCGCTGCTGCTCTCGGTGAAAAAGAATGAGTGATACAGAGGACTCTCGTTTACAAATAAATAAAAAGGTTTTCTGTCATGTCGTATCGAACGTCCTTGACGATGACCAGGGAGAGGGAAAAAAAAAGAATCCTTCGATTACAACTCTTTCAACTCAAATGGTTATATAAGAAATTCGATTCATATCGAGTATGGCGAGAGGCATATTGTCTATCGCAAATTAGATCGTTAGATTTTAGGTACCTTATTAGGTGCTAGTTGGCCATGGTTTTGGCTATTGCCGAACAAATTGCAATTGCGCCGTAATTAAAGAGAAAATTATGGAAGCAAATCTACAACACTATCGTTGGAATTATTCCTTCGTTGACCCTCACCTAGTTCCTCCACTACATGCAACAAATATTGACAAAATCAAGAGCAAAAAGAGAATTCGCTTTGGCCATACAACTGCAAGACGCCAGTGGATCCTCCTGGAATCTTCTTCTCCAATCTGTCTGTGTAGACAAATTCTTGCAAGAAAGTATCTGCTTAGTGACTTGCTGATGAAATCATCCTTCATTAGAAGAAATCCTTTGGATGCACTCAAATCAACAACAGAACGTAATGCCTGTGTTGCTAGTGCTCAAGCTTTTTTCTTTCACTCTAAGTAAATAATAATAATAATAATGATTTCGGAATTTCAGGTTTTTATTGCAGTCACTTGACTTAGGTACAAAAGAATCATAAAAAACTTAATCATAAATTCCAGTGCATTGTAGGCTTATGATAAAAAAACAAAAAATGCATCAGTTATAAAATGACAACGAAAATGTGTTCTTTTGTTGTTGCTTTTTTCTAGGTTTGGTCACATTTATGAATCGTTTGCGTCCTCGGAAAGAAAACAATGGCAAACATCAAGTTGTGAGCAACATCGAGTTGAGTCGCGTTAATTTCAGAAAATTTGGTGCTTACTACAAACACATGACGAATAAATGACATGATGGGCTTGTGCGGGTGCCGTTGTAAAATTCAAGTCGATAGCGACTTTATTGTGCAAGTTGGAGGGAAAAAAGGCTCCAAACTCTTTTTAAGGAGACCTGAGTATTTTTTTCTTTTAAGGATAAGATTAAGATTTATGTAATTTGTCGCCTTCATGGTTCCCTCAGCCTTCCATCTACAATAGATGTAACATACTTTTAGGACATCTCCAATAGGATGGGAAAACGCAGATCCGTATACTTTTCTTCCCCTTGAATTCTTCGTATTTTGCTGAGTGCAACGAAACTAACTTCTCTTATTATAACATAAAAATTGCACCTAACCTGAAATAAGTTTATACAGAAACAAATAAAAAAAAAAAAAAAAAGCAGAAACAAAGAAAACGAAAAATGGTATATTTTTCTTATATTTAATATCCTTATAATGTTATGAACGGATGAATGTATGAATTGATTAAAGGAGGAGGAGTGCATTCAAATCAAGGCACAAAAGAAAAGAGATACTTTCAACATACTTTCAACTCTTCTTCTAAGCCTTTTCTCAGAATGCTTGATAGTAATTTTAATTTAAATTAAGTTTTACGTTTTTGTTTATTATTTTAACGATTTTAGTAATGAATCACATGACATTAGTTTTGAGACTAAGTTCTGTTGTAAAAAGCCGTACATTTTATAGGTCATAATTAAAACTAATGCTTTCAATTTACAGTTGCATTTGGGAGAACTAAATTAATAATAAAATTGTGTTCGTTTTTCAAATCCAAAGTCACGCTACACTCTTTGGATTTGTGTCGTAAGAATCGTAAATGCATTTGAAAATGAAAAAGACGAAATTCCGAAAAAGAAAACTTCACTTAAGCCGATCCAGCACTTGGCTCGAGATGTGAGTTTTCTTCCAAATTTTTGCCTTTTCATTTTGTTTTTTAAATTAAAGAAATATAAAAAGTAATTTCCTTCAAAAGTTACTTAGTTCGCTTGGCAGTACGAGGATACAATTGAATAGCATTAACAACGAATGGATAATAATTATGTCGCTTAGTCGCTACTAACTTGCTTTAAGATTTGAAAATCATTAAAAGGGTAAACTTCTTTGGAACAACTATACATTTGTTTGTTAAACAAAAAAAAAAAAAAAATGTATTTAATTTAATTTACACATATAAAAATTTCAACTTTTTTTTTTTAATTTCTTAGTTGAATAAGTCTTTGAAGAAACAAAAAAGTTGCGAAAAGATTTTTTTTTTTTTTTTTCTTAAATGCGTTAAAGAATTTACTTTCATTAATACAAACATTATGCAGAATTACAATTGGTACACACAAACAATTTTTTTTTTTATTTTTAACAATTTTTTATACTAAACTAATTCTACTTATTTTTCTCGACTTCTCGACTATTGGCTTACATATCGACCATCAGAGGATGGGGTGCGACCGCCCTAAATATGTTGCGTTGCTTCCTATGCGTGCCTATTAGGATTCATTTATGTAATATGGAAACTTTGAATCGCTCTCAAGGAGAAAGCAATAAAATTTAATAAATTTTTTGAAATTTGAACAAAGTTCTTAAATAATGAATAATGTTTGTCGTTTTTTTTAATAAAAACATTTTATATTTATATTATAAAAGAAGAATAAATGTGAAATTTTTTTATTAAATATATACATTACACACACATATGCCGTAATTAAGATTTTAAAGGAGCACCTCTTTTTTTAGGCCTCTGATGGTGGATATCAGTTGATGAATTTAATTAATGTTTCATTTCTGAATTTCTAGTATAAAAATTGGCAAAATTTTTTAACAACGACACGGTATAACCATTGCCCAGCCAACTATGCGCAAATTTACGCCATAGATATTGATGGACATGGACGATATTGTTAGTTGAGGTGATTTCATGATTTTGATATGTTATAGTCGCGTGAGCAATAATTTGACCGCGTCGTTTAAGTAAATATCAGTTGATGAATGACATGTAATTGGTGAAGATCACATAATTCTCTACTAACCGGGCGCATAACTCTTGTCGCACCGTAGCTGTAAACTTATTCGCCACAACTAGAGCTGTGGTGATGCCAAATACCAAATTGTAAAGTAAAACAATTTGGAAATTTCCCAACCATTCGATGGCACCAAAATCTCCTAGCAAATCAAAGTTGGTGATACCTTCAATATTAGAAAAATAAAACTAAAAACATCTTTCCTAACAACATTTCCATTTCATTTTGTTTTACCGATAATGCGGCTGAGCAAAGGCAAGGCAGAGCTTAGAATCAAGAGCAAAGCGCAATTGACTATTAACTGTGATAGCGAGGTTTTACGCCGCTGCGGTCGTACCTGACTCATAAAGGGCATCGTATAAAATCCCACTGCTGACGTAGCGCCCAAATAAAATATTAAGCATACTTCGAGGCCAGCCCCAAGGGGACCTAATTTCGATAACGAAGTTATGCCCAACGTAAATTGCTAAAAAAAGAAAAAAATTATCAATAAATTCGAAAAAACTCTTTCTTTTGATATCGATTTAAAATATTTAATACCAACCCTGGTGCTTAACGGTAAAGCCTTAATACCAATTAGCAATTCTAAGGTGTTCTGCACCACCAACAGTATAGTAATGCCGGTAAAGAGCAGCAAGAGCAGCATAGCCAATGGATATACGAAATTTCTTTGAAAAGCTGACGATTTACGCAACTTTTCCAGCTCTTTGCGTTCAGACTCCAATTCTCTCAGTCTTTCATTTAATTTGGCTTGATGTTCATGAATTAGCTCGCCATTCCTCGATTTACGTTGCATGAGATGAACAAGCGAAGGACGCTGACTGTAATGTGCGTAATAGTTGCTAAAATTATGACCACCATTGGCTTCATAACGTGCATTAAAATTATTATTATTCGTTGATGTCTGCGGCGCCTCATAAATTTGGGCATCGCTATAGCACAGGACTACTGTTGAACCGTTCGAGCATTTACTAACGGTATTCGTTTGCAATTGCAAATTGGCCAGTTTACGTTTAACACTGGCCTCCTCCAGATGAAAGGCAATGTACTCTTCATTGACATCGCGCAACAAATGAGGTTTAACTAAAACTTGACCGACTACACCAAAAAGTCGAACAAAACCGAATGGAGTGCACACTAAAAAAAAGGTTTTAAGCAAATGATCACTTAAAGAAAAATAGAAAATATTCAGGAAATATTTTGCATGCAAGGGCATATTAAGTTTGTGCGTATATATGCAACATCCAGAAGAATTTGAGATAGCTCCACCTTTCATTATTAGAATCAAAACCCCCAAACCCTTTAGGCTTGTCTGTACGCAATTTTTAAGATATTTTATGACATTCGGTACACCAAAACGTGTTTCAGCCCAAAGACATATGCTGCCGACAATGTTCCGGATCGGATCACTTTTTCGATCACCTCCCATATGACACGTTATGCATCATTGTGTTAAGTGAAGCTGTGTAAGGTATTTAATGCGTTGTTACTTGTTGAAGTTAAAAGTGGCCAGTCACCTTGGAAAGTTGGAAAAATCGAATAAGATAGGGGAGATACTTCTAAGAGAACTCTGCAAGTAATTCTCAAATAAAATCAAAAAAGGATTTGGTGACTGCTTAGCAGGAAAGTAGCGAATTCCAATGGTAGCTTGGGAAATGTCATCATGGATACTGAATGTGGCAAAAGCTTCTAGTGCGAACTCTACCACGGTAAACGCCAACCCGCAATCATATCTCTAACGTAGACGACAAAAGTTCTACTTACGTATTCCGCTTTATACCAGCATTTCAAGCCTATTGCTAATATGCGGGTGCTGTCATGGTGTTTTGAAATCTCTGTCGGATTTTGAGTTCAATTCTTTCTTACACTTTTTCTTAAGCAGTTGATTTTTAGTTAAGGTATGTGTAGCTCGAATTTAAGTGATTGTCGAAAAGATAAAATGTGAGCAGTGACATATCTTACGACGTTATTACCTAGGAAACGCATATCTCCATAGCAATTTTAAGTAAATAGAGAATTGCTTGAGAGACCTTCAAATAGAAGAAGGCATTGATTTTTTTGTGTTTTCATACAATTTATTCACTTTTACCCATATATCAATCATTTCATCATATTACAAGCAAGCAACTGGAAAAAAGTCAAAGAATTCGGAAGAAAATTCCCAAAAGTTGTACCGCATATAAAAAACTGCTTTCAATATAAATATCGTGTAAATTAGTTGTGCATCATGTTAGAGCCGGGATTTAATGAGGAATTTTTGGAATTTGAATCGAAAGTACATCAGGTAATGAAACTGCTCGAGGACATAAGCGTAGCCAATAAAAAAGAAGGTGAAGAAGTGAAAAAGTAAGTAACAGATTATTCGCTTAAGGTTCTTTTCTTGGTGTAAAGATTGCCTTGTAATAAAAATTCAGGCCGGAAAAGGACATCTATCAAGACTTGAACGAAAACAATTTCATCGTGACCACACGTGAGATTGGCACTTCAATAAATAAGAAAAAAGCTACGCCTGCTTCCGCGGACATAAAACGCACTCCCCAGGGCGCAATAGAAATGGATAAGTTTACATTTATGCAACAACTGGAACAAGATGCCGATGAGCGTCACAAAGGGTTTAAAGAACGTGAGCGCATCGCACAGAATTTTAGGGCGTATGTTGAGAAATGCCATAAAATGTTGCGGCTAATATCGCATCCCTTTCTTTCCACAGGCTGGGCAACGAGGCCTATCGCAAAGCAAACTATGAGAAAGCGATTAATATGTACACAAAAGCCATCGATCATATCAAGGACAGTCCGATTCTTTATAATAACAGAGCTTTAAGTTACATCAAGTAAGTGATATCTTCATTTTTGTGCCAAGTATCGATTATTACCCTAATGCTTCCTTCCCTTGTAAAACATTTGCAGATTGAAGAACTTTAAACGCGCAATCATGGACTGTGATTACGTTTTGAACAAGTTGGAAGACAAAAATCTCCGAGCTTGGTTGTATCGTTCCGCGGCTTATAAACGCTTAGGAGATGAGACTAACTTCGAAAACAGCGTTAAATTAGCTCACAAAAACAATCCAAAGAAAGGCGCAATCATTGACGAGTTCATCGAGAAAGTTAAACTGGAGGGAATTTAATATTTTATAAATGACTTTATGGAATGAATATTATTTCATATGTAATTTCTTTTTATCATTTTCGTCTATCACAATTCGATTTGAGAAAAAAATATTTCAGAATAATCAAAAATAATTTCAGTCGTAATGTTCTTGATTGCGGATGGAGGTGTACGTGTTGACACGAACATAAACTTGGAAGAAAGAAAGCCTTTTCGTCTACGGACTAGTTTTCCTTTTTACTAGTATCGCGGCGGGGGGCAGAGCAAAATCAAAAAAAAAAAAAAAAAATAAATAAAGGAAGAAGTGCTACACGACGATCATCAATTGGTCGAATCGGCAAAGAAAAACACGCTTTCACATTTGACAGCTGCACAGCTGAGCCAGTGGTGAAGGCATACGCAGATTTGCAGCACCGCTATGTGCAAGAAGATTGAATTATTTGAAATTTTAAGCGTAGCGCGCCAAACTCGACGTTATCGCGAGACGGCAGTCTGCTCTAAGCCATCGAATGTTTTGAATGGTGGGATATTTTCAGACAATTTCTTCTATTAAAACGACGAAAATGAATATAAAAAGCGAACGAGAATATTCGTTAGCCAGCGAAGCGATAGACAGTTATAGTGTTTGAGATGGTAAGGGAATGGGAACGGGTAACATAGTAAGACGGACAAAATAACTCGTTTGAAAGATTATTTAAAAACAAGTAAGAACATTATAGTTGGGCAAGGCCGACCACCCACATTCCATAACACTATTCTTATTTTTGTTGTAGATTATAGAACACGAAAATTATATGCTATTTCTATATAAAGGCATACTTTTCATGTACGTGTTTTTTCTTACATACAGCGGGATTGGAAAGTAGTCGCAGAAATTACTATTATGTGCTAATTTTCATCACCACTTATTACACCTTCAACATTTCTGCTCTACCAAGGATCGATTTTCGTAAAAATCCTAATCGGTCCGAACCATTTTCAATAGCGTCGTCGCTTTCAATTCGCCCTCGGGTCATTACACGTCACTGCTCCAAATTTCAGCAAAATATCTGAAAAATTGCAACCTGTGGCTTGAACATAAAAATACACAAATAAATTCTGAATTGATTGGTATAATTAAAGGTTGGTCTATCTTAACCCCTCCTGTGTGTTGCATACATCCACACTAATTTAATATACCCTGTACCGAAAGTTGTGCAGGGTTTAGTAAAACAAAAAACATTCATCGATGAAGGCGTTAATAGAAAAATCTTCCAATTGTTGTTCTAATCAAAATAATAATATTAATATACATACCGAGGAGCAGTAGCACACCCAAAAATGAAACGCATGAATACAAGAAAGGTAAGTGAACGCTGCCCAAATCTATAATTGGAATAAAAGAGAGAGAAAAAACTAATTGAAACTGTATTTGATTAAAATTCTTTTTTTCCTATGGTATCAATACTAAATACATCGGCCCCTATAACGTTTACTAAGCGTCACATATGGATGAGTATTGGATGGCATGGTAAACATTTCCGGTGTCATGTGCTTGTTTATTTATAAAGTTACATAAAATGAGGTAAATCATAATCATGCGTGTCCAACGTACAAAGCGAAAACTTTTCGTTTTTAAAATTCGAGACATGAGACCATGAAATAAAATTAATTTATAATAAATAAAAAGTGGAAGATATAAAAAGAGTTCATTCAATTTTTCTCGCGTCAACATTTGTGAGTTGTTGTGCAGTTAGCGGTGATTTGTTGGGCAACCAAGGTATTTATTTATTAAGAATGCATTTATGTTTGAACACTTACTCAGTAATGATAAGAAGCCAATTTTTTCTGGATCCAAGACAGCGGAAAGTACGTAAGTGAAACCGAAAACTACGGTAGCCAATAAGCTAAATACTGTAAAAGTCTCGTAAGCGCGGGCTATAATGCCCTTCTTGTGACCGGAAAAGCCGGTCGATTCAGTAAATAAATAAGCGAAGGGTAAAAAGATGAACAGCGAGAGATTGGAGAACAAGAAAACGTGATTCCAAAGACCTGAAAACAAAAACGATAAAAGTTTGGGAACAAAAATAGTGATTTCATTTTAATATGATTCTTGTTGTTGTTCTTTTTGTACCTTGTATCAATGAACTGTTCAACCATTTAACATAGTAACTGCTTGGATAAAGTAACAATACTTCGTTACTAGCTATCGAAGCGGGCAATAAAAGAGCAGCTCCCACTGCTATCGCCATTGAAAAAATACAAAGCCATGAGCTAACACACAAAATTTATTTCAAGAAAAAGAAAAAGAAAAAAAGAAGAAAAAAGACAAATTTTAATAATAATAAACTTTTATCAGCGCAATATTTGCTTTCTTCTTCTTACCTTATGCGATAGACTAACAATTCATCTTCATCGTTAGAAAATACATCATCACGATCTTTGCGTCGAAAACGTGATATTAAAACATATGAAGCAATATAGAGTACAATTAATAATAAAAGAAAGATCTGAAAATGGAATCAAAGCGAGAAAAAAAAATCAATTAACGCAATGATATATGTTGAGCAGTGCAAGCGAAGTTAGTTGAGTTTAATAACCTCATTTCCAATTTCATATGCTTCTGGAAATTGCAAAGCTTCATTACTTCCTAATGTGCTCTCATCGGTTACGCAAACTATTTAGATTATGTTTATGTAAAGATTTATTTATTTATGTTACGTTTCGAACGGATTAATGACCTCTTCGTTGTCCCTGCCGTGAGACGTGTAGAAGAACATGTTGATAAAAATAAATACAAGAAATCCTATTAGCATGCCATCCTATCCTATTACTAAGATGTGAAAATATATCCCCATCTGTCGCCCAATATGTTTCAATTGCTTGCAAAATGAGAAGATTTCGTGCTAATCAGTGTTGTTTGGCCTAACGTCCCTGTAACGCTAATGTAGGCGATATTTGTCGAAGTTCGTTGCTGTATAAAGCGCACTTGAAGCGTTTCATTTCCACGAAGATATAGATAACGTCGACACTAATATGATTTCAACGATGTAAGTTGTCGGTGTTTTCAAGTTATCTTTCAGCCAATATCAATGTGTAAAGAGATCGATTTCATTTATGGAACTGCACTTTCCCGGCTTTTAACTAAATTAAACGTGGAAAAGATGCAGCTCAAGGTGCAGAAATGAGAGCGCATTAAACTACGAAACCATTAGAAAGCGGTTCGAGAGGCTTAGAGCAAAAAATTGTTGTCCTGAAAGCGGTGAATTCCGTCCCTCCCCGGAAAGGACAACCAAGGAAATGATTTTCATGATAGGCTAAGAAGTTTTACTATACACGGCACAGCTTCGATATCACGCTCCTCCCGATTACCACTCATATCGATACAGTCATATTTAGCAGGTCAGCGTTTTACAGAAGTTGAAGATCGATGACTATCTCATCTCCAAATCGGCAAGTTTCTACTGTGCGGGCATCGTCGCCAACCTACCCGATAAACGGCAAAAGATCACAGCTAGTGATGCTGGATATTGTGATTACTAAGATTTGTAAACAAGCTTGAGTTCTATCAAAAGACGGAACGAGTTTGTTCGTACGCCTATTGCGTAGCGCTTGTTGCGAACGCCGACGTCACATCGGATACATTTCGATAGCAACCAGATCCTATCTTTTCCCTTTGGTGAGTGACATCATGACATGATAACGAGGTAACAATTTGATGATAATTCGGCTTTACAAGCGTTCCATCTGTCGCAAGCAATTTTCGTACATTCAGACGGAAGAAAAAGAAAGAGAAATTAATATATGTAAGCCTCGAGCAGATAAGTGATAAACACAAAGACACAGAATTAGCCTTTGCAAAGGTGAAGACCAAATTTCATTCGCAATGATTAATAAAACCAGAAGTTAAAAAAAACTTGGAAAAACAATTAAATAAAGTTAGTGTATTGCTTACAAATATATCGGCTCGGGAAGAAGAAAAACTTGTCACGCGGAGCAGTAAAAATGTAATTAAATTATTGCTAAGGCCACTGCTACAGATAAGAAACATTTGCTTGATACGAGCCTGGGCAAGACTTACGCTTAAGCAACTGGTCTTAATGTGCAGCCAGTAGCGAGCAACGACTAATAAAATTATTATCTGCAAATTATCGAAACATTGACGTTAAAAAAGATAAAGAAGAAGGTGTCTGTGCAAGGTTCTACACAATACAAATCTATTCTTAATCAGCAATAGGTTTAGTTATATCCATCGCAATAGCTGTAGCATTAAAAATAGCCCTATTTTGTCTCAAAGCAATGAAAAATAGTTCTAAATATCTCAAGTTCTTTGTTAGAAAACAAATAAAAAGATTATAGTTGGCCGTGGCCGGCCATTGAATGCCCAATGCACACTTCTTATATGAGAAGTGCACGGGAAAGCTCGCTTTAAACTGAAACACTATCAATAGCCCTCGTTGCAGGGCCGAAACATGTTGGTGTATCAAATTTCGCCAATACGTGCCAACTATGGCGACGCGTAGGTTGAACACAAATATTCACGGACCGGGATCGGAAAGACAGAGCGCACTGATTTTGGCAGAGAAAGCATGACGAAATAAACGCCTCCTACGAAAACTGGAAGTGCTTCAAAGGCTGTGCAAGTTGAGAATGATATCGGCTTATCGCACATTTTCAGCGATACCGGCAGCAGTCTAACAGGAATATTACCCATCGAGCTTCTATTGAAGGAGCAGTTATGTGGGAAATTAAAGCGAGATCTGTACACCTTCTATTACTATTCGGCGAAGCATGTAGACAGAATGGCAGCAAAGAGAAAACGACTCGGAAAGAAGGCGAACCTACACCCTCATCCCAAAGGTAAAGCAATGGAAGTCGAGGACACACGGAGAAGTCAAATCCTTCCTAATCCAATTTTTCGCTAGGCAGGAAAGTTTTTTCAGTTGCGTGTGCCTCACAACGGCGACGTCCGAACATCTAATCTCAGGAGAGGGGAGGAAAGGTAGAATGATATAATGAGGATCGAGAATCCACAAGGGTCCATCTCGTGGTAATACGCAATCGGTTTCGAGACGACTTTGTCCCCAGTCTAGGGCCACTGCAGAGGGCAGTGCGCCGCCGCTAAGTTCATTAAAAAAAGAAAGAGGCAGACAGACAGAGGGTCAGATAGACGGACAAGCGCAGATCGATTCAGAATCGCTCGATATAATAAGAGGTGAATATTACATACACTCTAGCAAACATAATATGCCCTCTGTCACAAGTGGCGAAGGGTGTAAATGTTACATAATAGAATAAGTTAATAAATAATTCGCTATAAGTTGGAAAGATAAACTTTAGCAACATAAATAACTAAACATATAAATATAATTTATCTACAGTTCAAGTGTGGGTGCAAAGTGTACTTCGCTATCAGAATGTGTGAGTGTTGCCAAAATATATCCCACAAAAAAAAAATTAATTAAATTCTTTTTATCAAAAAATCCTATTTTTAAATACAAACTGAACTTTGCAACATAAGTAAGAACTGTATGAAATACAAGACAAAAGAAACCCAAGAGATAATTAAAATGTTAAGGAGAACCAGTGTAGGTAGAAATACAAATAATAAACACATGTTGCTAATACACCCATAGCTCATACTGCAGCCAAGGAAAATATGTTTTCTGTGTAGAAAAAAAAAAAGAAGGAATCTTTTCATTTTTAACACTAGAACTACCGACAGGTCAAAATAACCGGTTGTATCAATTGTTCATACGGTTGTCTCTTTTTCTAAGTTTATGTAGGTATTTATCCCAATTTCATTTTTCTGGTATATGCATATGATATACCTGGACATAACGATCTGTCAATCAGTCACTATGGCGATGGCGAACCAAAATTCCGTCCGAAAATATATAGACATTTAGACACAGCCAATAAAGAATATAGGAGACGAATCCACCGATAACAACGGAGATTAATTTGATCCCGAAAATGGACGAGCAGAGATTTCGGAGGATCGATCAGAAAGAAGAGAGAAATATGTATTTCCTCAGAGGAGAACATCCTGAATGTACATAAACCAAGAAGAACGTTGACGTTGTCGTCGCCTTCTGATGAAAGTGACCGGAACTATCTGGGTTAAAGTAAACGCTGGACCCATTCCAGGGAGCAGACCAATGCCACTTTCAAACGAGTATTTGGCACAGTAAGTAGTGCTTTTTTATTGAGAATCAACCGTCGAATTATAAGCACGCGATGCTTATGGAACTAAGAACTTGAAATTGTCTTATTTATGGTCAAAGAGTTTTTTTTTTTTTAAGTAACTATGAGTGGAAGAAAGTTTCCGGATACCATTGCCATCAAAATTATTGCAACAATGTACTTACTACGATACTTCTACTGTGTATGAAACAAGGGTGTGAAGATAAATTCGAATTTAACTAGTAAAGACACCTACCGTTTCTGTTAACATACCTCTGTTAACGACTTAACAGGGCTCATGTTAAATAATTGCAATTGAGATATAGTTGGTTTGAAAGCCTAATCCGTCCATATTAAAAAAAAGAAAATATTTTTGTGGGCATTTCATGAATAAATATAAAACTACCTTTCAACCAAACTAAACAAATTCAAATTCTGCTTATGGAAACTATTTTTAACGGTATCTGAAATTTGGTATTTTAGCGAAAACTGCATATGAAAAAACACCCAAATTTGACACTCTAGTGCGACCAAACTAGAAAATGTCGCCTATATTCACCTATATCATGTAAATCTATATGAAAATACCTATCGATTA